GAAGTATTCCAGAGCGAAACATCTATTTGACATTTAAAAGAATGAGACAGTTGTGTACTGTCTTTAGCTGTGACACTGTCAATCAGCTCACTTTTATGTTTAATATGTTGTGCTCATGAAATGCGTAAAATATTTTCTAGATACAATGGCAATATAATCCTGACCTTTAAAAAAGAGTAAAATTTAGATAGCTCACTTGCACATTTGGTATATTTTACTGCTAAGGCATATTTAGCACAGGCCTAAAATTGAGACTCTTATCAGAGCTAACATAGAGTGGAAAGTAAAATTCAGTAAGAATGTCCCTAAATTAAACTGTATCAGTCTTTCCCACAGTTCCTGTGATATGTTCCAAATGGGTGGCAGTCAGATGGTAATTATAAATCATTGCTTTCAGTTCTCTAACTTGAGCACTATCCAAGATAGACAGTGAATGCCTCTGAAATAGCTTATACAGTCACCTCAAAGCCTTCAGGAATACGTTAGGTTTGCTGTCATTCTGTAGGACTCACATGGCAAAATCTGAAAAGTGTCTTCTCACATCAGGTTTTTTCACTCCTTTGCAATTTGAGAAGGTGTTGGGCAGCAGCGGAGACTCTGGAATTATCTTCTGCAGACTCAGGAAAATGGTACTGTACTATGTCATTCTCAAATCACATTTGAATTTTATTTTCAGGAGCAGTGCTAGAAACTTCTTTTAAAAATTAAAGTTATTGGCATTCACGGGGGAACATCCTTACTCCTGCTGAGTGGATTTTAGACAGTTTTTATTAGATCAAATTCTTATATCTGTCTCTAACTTACTGTCGATTAATACTGTTCAAAGGATTATATATTTCACTCTTGATCTGCAACACGTATAGAATAAGTAGGTTTCCTACTTCCAGTTTCCTCTTGCAAAGTTTATCAGATCCTGTGAAATGTTCCAGGAAGTTCAGGCTGGAGTAATACTAGAACAGCTACAGAAAGTGTTGGATACACAAAAACTGAGCAGTGGGCAGTAGGGGCCCTTTCAAATGAAGGTTAAGAACGCATAAATGTATTCCAAACAGAAATTTTAAACCTGGTGAAATTTGTGCAGATGCTTAACATTTTACTTTGTGAGTAGCTCCATTTAAATCAATGAGGCTCTTCACAGCTTTTAAAACTTGACATATACACAAGCCTTTGCAGGATGAGGGCCAAATTATTTTTTTTTTTAAGAGTGTGACTTGTTTGGAGACATTCCAGAGGAAAAAAAAGTGGGGCTTTCCATAAAATTGTTGGCACTGTTCTGCTTATTAAGCAGACATGAATACACTCAAATAAGATAAGGTCTAGACATTTTAATCAAGTATGTGGAAGTTTGTGCCTATTCCTAAGTTTAAAAGAAAATAGCGATAATGCTTCAAGATTTGTATGATAGGTTAAATTATTGATATATGTTTATTTAGAGTTCTATAATATTACCTCTCTTACTTATTTCACTGTCTTACCTATAGTTCTTTTACCAGGCAAAATTTGCTCTGTTAGCAAATAAATTGTTATAACTTTCAAGCAGACTGCACAGAAAACAGTTTCCATTATTTACTTTTTGACCTTAGATGTTGCAAAAAGTAAATCTTCCTATCTTACCTCAAGCTAATTCAACACCAAGTATATAAGACAAGAACTTATTGTTCAGTTTGTAGCTTGCATATTGAAGGGCAATGTATTCATTTCAGGAACAGAGTCTAATTTTAGGTCTGTATTGAAGGTGCGATGAAAATGAGAATGCTGGGAGTGTCAGTAGGATTTTTCAAGAGCAAGCCCAGTATAGCTCTTGAACTACAATGATTGTGAGATGAAAGAAATCATAGAATACACTTTATTGCTCTAAATGGAACCTGTTATGTACCTGAAATTATTCACCCCCTCAGTTCTTATCATGGGCATGGCCTCAAACTACTGCAGATAAATGCTTTGACATTATAGCTCTTCAAGAAATCAGAAATAGTCATTTGGCCCACTGGTTGCTGGACTGCTTGGTGGTAGATGCTGCCAGCACTTTAAATAAGCAGCCTAGGGAGACACGTGGAACATCTGGCGACAGCAGCTACTTTTAATCACACAGGTCACATTGTACCACAGCACATAAAATCAGTGTCACATTTAGCAAAGCAGGTTTACTTGACCACAGGGTGTCTTGAGGTCATATTTAAAAGCTTCTGTAGATGTAGACAGGAACCCAGCAGGATTTTCACAAGCCCCTAAGTGCTTATTTCCCATTGGTTTCTCACTAGGACTGTCTTTGTAGTAATATTTTAAAAATACTTCCAAAATACTGCCTTGGGTGTCTTAAGGCACACTGCCTTGCTTCAGGCTGCAGAAAGTCAGAAGCTGCCAGTTGGGTAACTGGTTTTCAACTACAGTTACTTTTAGGGCAGCTGTTTCATGTCTGTACGAAAGTCCTCTAGGGCTCCTAGTCTGGGAACGCAGGAGGCCTGGGTGAGTTAACAGGGACAATTGCTACATGAACCAGGTACATTGTAGTTAACAGAATTGCACAGAAAGCCTTGGAAGTCTTTTTCATCTCCTGGGGTCTGGTAATTCCTGTGGCTTTTTCCACAGAGATAGAACTCCATATGTACAGGGAAAATAATAGTTTCTTCACCATTTGGGCTGGGCTTGGTGCTTCAAAATCATCTTTGCAAACAAGGATACCTCCCTTCTCCTTGCTGGTGCTCCCCAGCCCCAAAGCCACACAGACCATACTGGAAGGCATTAGGCCTTTTCTTTAGGCATACTTTCCTGAGCAACTTCTGCATTCCTATTTTTAAAAGTTGCACATTCTGAAGATACGGGAACACATGCTCTTTGTAAGATAATCTCCAGTTCCTTCCCCATTCTACACAGTCGCGCTGCTCAGAGCCAATTTTAATGCATCGCTGGAAGGTCTGTTATAGAAATGTATATAATCTATATTATGACTTGCCTAAGAAAAAATGGGGGAGCGGGGAATGTTCCTGAGGAAGTTCATTGCACTTTCAAGATTTCAGAGTGTTTCGAGTTAGAAGTAATGAATCCAGAGCAGTGTCCTTGGAATGCTATACAATGAATGCAAGGACCAGCAGAGTAGCACTAGATGGCACTACAGTAATTTTCACTCTAAAAGCATAGGCCAAGCCCAGGGAAAGATGGACTTGGGTCCAGCTCTGAATGGACAGCTCAGATTTACCATCTAAAATTTACCTGGGTGGCCTGGAGAGATAATGAGGAATATGAGACATAGCAGTCTTTCCAAGGATGCATAGCCTTGAGTAGGTTGATAAGTGATACAATATATAATGATGAAGAAGAGCATGGAAAGCTACCTGAATGCTTTAATTTCACAAAGTGAGACCACAAGGCACCTGAAAAGCTGTTATGTTCTATTGAACCCAAAGTAAGGATATCCAGTTTCAGTACATCTAAAAGCATCTCACTCAACAGCACACCAAAAATTCTATGTGTCATCTAGGCAACTGGATAGTTCCAACGTCTGTCTGCAGATATAAACTGGCTGTTTACAGTGGTTTGTGCCTAAAAATGAAAATTTGACTTATTGAGCCAAAATCAGCTAGATTTTTTGACTGGCCTCATAGCTTGCATTTCCTGTCATACAGAGTTAAATGCTGGCTATTGCCAGTTTCTTTTCATGTTTTCCACAGGTGGCAGTTAACATCAAAGCTTGATACATATCTTGTTCCTAATAACAGACAATATAGCCTGTTGTCTCTAACAGGTACTGCAATAAGCTGATTTGAGAGCCTGCTTTTAGAACTTTGCAGAAGTATATAATCTTTTATAGGAACAACTGAGTGATTCTGTAGCTTATATTATCAAGTACATCCAGGAGAAAATAGAGCCTGTTGAAAAAATCATACTCATTCTTGTAAACTAAACCGATTTAAACTAAATTCAGGTGGTTGTTGCAATTTAAAGGACATGGTCTATCTCAGATTTGAATTCTAAAACATTGTAGAACCAGATGTGTAAATCTTGTAAATCCTTTTAAAGGAAACATCTAAGTGCAGAATATTCATGACAAAAGCACTACAAGTTATTTTTATAGTATCATAATTATTTTTCTATTATGCATTTCTATGAGTTATGTTTTGCCTTCTGTGATGCTCCAGGTTCAAATTCTCGAAGGGTAATTAGTATTTATTTCACTGGAATCAGTGGGAGATAGATATTTCAGAGATAAGGAACTCTGACATTCAAGTTTTAAGGAGAGATCAGCATGAATGTTTAAGTTTCTTCAAGTAAATCTTATTCTAGTCATATAGCTGCATACACTTTAGGGATATTGCCAGCTAAAAGGCCATCTACTTGTCAGTTACAAATACAAAAAAAATCTAATAGTATATTCCTTTACTACAGGAATGGTCTTTATCAATGGAAGTAGCCTGACTGGAGGCAGGAGGCTTGCTTGGAAAAATAAGCACTGGAACCAGTAGTATTATTCGACCAGAGGTTGTGCTTCTACCCAGCCAATATGTGCAGGTTAACCCAAATGGGCTGTCAACACAAAATGGGTGGAGAAGAGGGGTCATACAAGTCAGAGCATAAAAATCTAGCATTGCACCATTGCTTCAAACTGCCAACATTTAAATAGCATTGTTTAATATGAAATTAAACACCCCTTGTGCTGGAATTGGATTCTTTGCCCATGCAAGGATAAACCTGTGGTAAAGATGAGAGACATATGATGTCCAAAAACACTTTAAACTGTCTCTTTTAGTCATAAGCCACTGCTCTTTGAAAAGATTCCTGTGTGGTTCTGAGCACATCCTGAGAAAATGTTCTAGTTGTCCTACTTCTTCTAATGTGTACTCTAACAAGGGCTCCTTTAATCTGTGCTTTAAATCTCCTTTAATCTGGTCACTGTTTTACACTTTGAGATGTACCCCTGAGGCCTCCTCTTGCCTCAGAAGAGGCTTGAAAACAACCATAACTTGCTGCTTGCTTTCTCAGACATGTCTATGTCTACATTCCAGGAGTCGATGTTGGTCCTGGTAGACATGCCCCAAAAGCAGACTCCATCCTAGATGCAAAAGCGGTCTGTGTAGCTGGCAGTGAAGCATGGCAAATATTCACTGGTGAAGTGAAGGTCTGATGAGACATGCAGTTTGCTGTTCAGCCCATTCTGCAACCTGAGTGTCTTAACCAGAGCTGATCCCAACAACCCAGAAAAGCAACTGGAAGAGTTTCCTGACCAGTGTGGTACGCCTGTGGGAAACAACGACAGTGCCCCAAAGCGCACTGTTTTCACTGTCACCCCAACAGTACAGAATTACATGAAGCAGTGCCTCGTCTTACCTTGAGCAAGTACAGCCACAGCGATGGTATATCGCTGCCCATCTGTGCCGGCTTGGGAAGAGGTATGTGCTTGGAAAGAGGTATGTGCTTGACAAATGTGCTTGATTCAGTGCTAATTACATTGCCAAACCACTGTGCGTTTGTGTGTGTATGTGTATGTGGGTGTGTGAGGCAGAAGATCAGGGAGTTGTCTCACCTGGCTCTATTACCTGAGCATCAAGCATCTTGCCTATGCTCCCTTAGTGTCAGTGGCAAGGTAGGTAGGGTAATACATCCTGTTCTAACCTAGGAGTTAAAGCTTAGAAAACTAATTTAGAAAAAGAATAGCTACTATTTAGTTAACTGAACATGTGATAAAGGTCCCTCCTCATTTAAAAAAATGTCAAATTATCATTAAATATTTTCAAAATATAGCACATTTAAGACAACTTAATTCCCTTCTAGGTTTACAATTCACATCTAAAACTTTCTCATCTTCTTCATCTATTGCAATGAATTTTGACTCTCTCCATTTCCAGCCTAGCCTGCTTCACTCCTCCTTAGGCAGCTTGGTGACCCTGAGCTCCCTGAGGATCACTGTACTGATGCTGGCCTCAGTGTGGGCATGTGCTTGGCATAGCACACTGCAGCCCATGACTCCTGGGCTCAAGTGATCTGGTGGACTTAGCCTCCCAGGTAGCTGGGACTGCAGGCACGCACCTCTGCGCCCAGAAAGCAGCATGCCAACAGCATCCTGGGCTGCATTAGGAGGAGCATTGGTCAAGGGTGGTGATCTTTCCCCTCTGCTCAATGCTGGTGAAGCCACACCTGGAGTACTGTGTCCAGTTCTGGGCTCCCCAGTTGTGCTGGGTTTGTGTGGCAGGGTTTTTGGTAGCAGGGGAGCGGGCTACAGCAGTGGCGCCTGTGAGAATCTTCTCGAAAGCTCCCCTGGCTCCAAGTTGGGCTCACATCTGCATCAAGGCCAAACCAATTAACGACGGTGACTGCACCTCTGTGAGAACGTATTTAAGAAGAGGAACCTGAGAAGGGGTTAGGATGTGTGAGGAGTTATGAGAGACACCTGTGCGAACACTGAGGTCAATAGAAGGAAGGAGGAGGAAGGCAGGGAGGTGCGCCGAAGCAGAGACCCCCTGTATCCTGTGGTGAGACAGCAGGGTGCCCTCACCACCACCCACGGAGGTCTGCGATGAAGCAGAGGCTGACCTGCGGCCTGTGGAGGAGCCCACATTGGAGCAGGCATCTGCACTTAAAGGAGGCCAGGACTCTGAGGAGAGAAGCAGCCCCCGCTGGTGAAGTTCGGCTCTGGGAGGACTGCAACGCATGGGGGTGACCCACGCCGGATCAGCATGGGAACAGCTGCAGCCTGTGGAGAGGTCTCACACCAGAGAAGGTTCATGGAGGACTGTCTCCCATGAGGCGGGAGCCACATGGAACAGGGGAGGAATATGCAGGGTTTACCCTACCTCCTGAGGAGGAAGTAGCAGTGAACTGACTGTAACCCCCAGTTACACCCCCAGTAACAGTGGGTTACACCCCTTTTGTAACAACACTGTAAGTGATGTTTTTATTAGCGTTTGAATAAAAGTGATGGGTTTTTTCTTCCCCTAATGAGTCTGTCTTTTGCCTGTGACCATAATGGGTGAACCACCTGTCCCTGACTTTATCTCAATTCCAGAACCTTTTGCTTCATTTTCTCCTTACCAGCGGTGGTGGGGAAAGGGTGAGTGAATGGCTGTGTGGTCCTCAGTTGCCCTCTGAGCTCAAAACACGACACAAATACAAGAGAGATATGGACTTACTGGAGAGACTCCAACCAGCACAGTGCCATAAAGATGATTAAGGAATTGGAGCCTCTTTTGTAGGAGGAGAGGCTGGGAGAGGTGAAACTGTTCAGCCTAGAGAAAAGGAGGTGCAGGGGGATCTTATCTATATGTACAAATATCTGCTGGGAGGGAATGAAGAGGGAGGCTGACTCTTCTCAGTAGTGCCCAGAGACAGGACAAGAGACAATGGGCACAAATTGAAACACACTAAATTCCATCTTAACAGAAGAAGATACTTTTTTACTATGAGGGTGATCAAACACTGGCACAGGTTGCCCAGAGAGGTTGTGGAGTCTCCATCCTTGGAGACATTCCAAACTCAACTGGACACAGTCCTGGGCAACCTGTACTAGCTGACCCTGATTGAGCAGAGGCTTTCACGTGATGACCTCCAGAGGTCCCTTCCAACAACCATTCTGTGACTGTAATTTTGTGAATTTGTTTTGAGAAAGCTTCAAGTCTTTATTAAGCTGATACTATAAGGACAACATCTTTTAATGTCCAATGTGTAGTAAATGCAGACAGCCCTGATACAGGAAATAGGCACTAATTTTAACATAAACCTGGTTTACCCTTATGTAAATGACACTGGATTCACATAAATTGTATGTTTATTAGTATTTTATCCCTTTCATTCTCATTTGCCTATAATTTTAATCTGTGTAGCTCTCTTCAATTATGGCTTTAGTTGTATTTCACAGTTTGTATTCTCCCCTCAACAAAAAAAAAACTAACCCAAACCCAAAGAAATAAATAAACACACTGTGTATTTTCTATGTTTCTTGATGGAGAGTTAAGAAAATCTGAGATGTGTTCGCTCTTTTTTTACTACCTTGCTATTGATTACTAATCTATATTTATATTTATGCATATACACATGCACATGCTCAGACACAGGATCATTTAAGTTAAATCATTCAGGTGTTTTGACATTGTATGGGCTCCTTCAAGACTTTCTTCCGTTCTTTATGTTTAGCTGTCAGCCCTCAGAAATCACATTAGTAGCAACTACCACTGAACATTACTGATTATACTCAGATTTTTATGAGTAAGAGATCTAAATCCTCAATCCTACATCACTGATCTTCGGTGCTCTGAAAACACAGAGCAAGTTCAAAAATTTTTTGCTTCAGGTGTGGAAATCTCCAAGTGGAGTGAAGCTACCAACCAGAATGTCTCCCAAACCAGCTCCTTGTAGGCACTGCTACAGAAGAATATAGCCTGCACGGATATTCTTGGGGACTGTTCAGCTACTTCAATTTATACTCAAATTATGCTGACAGTGAAGTGACCTGGGGAACACAGAGATGTTTTAAAGCAACCTTGTAGGTGAGGCACTGATTCCTCACCTGTTTGCACCTAAATTTCATTCTAAAACTCAGAAAGATGAAATAACGCAACCCTGTTCGTGCTGGTGTCAAGCATCTGAGTTACACATAATTTTGCTTCACCTCTTTCGAACTGTGACTTCTGCAGATGAAAAGTGCTATATCAATGCTGAAAATTGGTCTTCCATGTTGAATCATGGAAGGCAAGGCCTGCCAATCTTGCAGCACAGTCCGCAGTCACAGGGACCAAGCACTGAAAATAGAAACCTGGAATGTATTTGGGTGGCATTAACTAGGTTTCAACCCAATTTTTTCCTACTGTTGCTGTAGCCTGAAGAATTATGCAAATGCATTGCTGCTAAAGAAAGGAGGGAAAACTAAACAAGTCCAGACAACAGAACAGCCAGCTCACATTAGTATTCTGCCACGGTGAAATAAACCAGATCGTTCAGACAAAATAGGCACAAATAAAGGTTTCATGGGGAATATAGCTGCTTGAATAGGAACAGCTCTAATCTCAGCACTGCCACAAATCCCCTTTGAGAAAATGAATTTTGGAACACTTTAAATTTTTAACTGTTCTTCAGTTTCTATGGAATAACACCATACCTCAGGCCACTCTAATAACATTCCTGGCTTGCCCTGCTGTAACAATCTGTAAAAACTCATCCAGTCAGATGATTTGGGTTTTAATATCAAGCTGCTTTGGAGAATGTTCATGGTAGGAAGTGCATAATAACATGTTTTATTATTGCTGTAAAAAAAAAAAAAAAAAAACAAAAAACAAAAAACCAAAGTGGTTTGCTTTTGCCCATTGGGGAGCTCTGGTTTGTTATTACATTCTAACGCAATGATAATTAATGACTCCACAACCAGCACTAAAAAAGTGTTCCCTGGCTAAAATTTTCAAAAGTAACTAATGATTTGAGGTTTCTTTGCTTTTATGTGTTCAGTCTGAAATACCTTGAAGAGGCACCTGGTTTTCAGAAAATGCTCAGCACTGACTTTCTGCAAATAATCTACCTTCCTCTTAAAACCTTCAGACACTGTCATTTTAAGGTCATGGTAGATGCTGTTTACTGGTAACAAAAAAAAAAAAAAGTATGTCAATTCACAAATTAGTAATAGAGCACCAGAGTAGATCACAAATAAATCCATTTCAAAGGAAAATATTTTAAAATTATACCTTCCTTGCACCTGCAAGAACAGACTTCTAGACTCTTGGGATGATTGGAAACTACTTAATAAACAAGCATGTAAGCAAAAGAGGGTAGACTAGGGACCGGTTCTAGCAGTTGTTTTGTATTACTCAGTAAAAGAAAGATCAAGACCACATCCCACAGTATTGGGTGGTGCTTGGACATGTCAGAGTACTTTTGAATGTCACTGTATGCACTGCGCCTGCCTGAAGCTGTCCTGGAGCTTGGCTGTCCTTTGCCTGGTGGGAGGAACCACTATTAACACCTGTGCAAAGTGGGGAACTTGCAACTGAATCATAAAGCTGATGTTTCAGCCTTGGTGTCAGTGCTCATTCAAGGTACGCAGCAATGGAGAAAGGAGCATCACAGATGTTCTTATTTCATCCACCCAAATGACTCAGCTTCAGAAAAATTCAGAAAGGCTTCTAGGTCTTTCCCCCAACTCAGCTGCACTGGAGCAGGCAGAAGAAAGCAAAGAACTGAAGGAGAAAGCAAGTAATTGCTTCCGAGCTCTTCCTCTACCACAGTGATTACACTGGGGTATCCTTATTTCACACCCCTCTACTTCTAGTCATGCTCAGCTCAGATTAAAAACCTTTGGACCTACATCTCCCCAGCTTGGTTCCAGTCTTTTAAGAAGCCTTGCCTTTTCTTCGAAGGGCAGTCCCTGGCCAGGGCAGATATGATGGATGTTGAGGTCAGTATTTCAAAAATGTACTTCTCTTCTGATACCTGAGGTTCTCACATTTTTAAGTGCAGATTTGCATTCTATTCATTTGGGCAAGATGCAATTTTTGGTCCTTTAAAATAAACAATAAGTATGCTTGCAAACAACCAGATCACCATGCTGCAGCTGATTTTACATGCAAGCAAAACTGTCAAAGGTCAGTGAAGGCAAATCAGGGTAGCACTTGGTAGCACAAGGTGCCCAGCTGTATGGAGCTGGCTGGTTTGCTGATGGACATTCCTCAATTCTTAATCCTAAATCTGTCCCGTGTTGGGATTATTCTTGTTGGATTAGACACCATGCAAGGCTCCACACTTGTGTGAACCTGCTCTACCTTCCCCAGGATTTTTCACTTTTGCTTTGCAGAGGTCTCTGTTCCTACTGCAAGTCCCTCTTCCCAAATCTTGTGGTTTATCTAGTACATGCTGAGCACCCTTTTGCTTAAAGGTGTCCTTTGCCAACAGGATTCATCCATAGACACCAAGATTGCCTCAGAAAGAAAATAAAAGTGGTTATTGTTTTACTCCAGCTCTCTTTCCTTGCTGCTATCTTACATTTTTCATTGCTAATTCTTCTTCTCTGCCTGGCTGAACAAGAGAGGGGTGTTCATCCAGTCTGAAGGGAAAAAGCCTGGAAGTAAGGAGACAGCATCAAATGATCACACTTCTGATGACTGCTCTGACTTTCATGAGCAAGCCTCTGGCT